CTCTAGCAGTGGACCAGACCTCTCTGGAGAACCAGACCAACACAGTTTATAAACATTTACAGCCAGTTTATTTCCTTAGTTCATCTACTATTGACAGTTCCTTCGGGACTGAAAGACACTCTCAAGGTTACAGCAGATCCAGCAAGAGACCGAGAAAAACAGCAAAAACCCAATTCCCAGTCCGGCAGAGAAACCTGAGCCGCTGCCATTAGCATTAGGAGTGTGTGTGTGACAGAACTCGCTCAGCACTCCAGTGTGTTTCTCTGTCCACAGCAGAGTCGGCCATCTTCTCCACATCTCTCCTGCAATCTCTCACTGCTGTCAGTCACACCAGTGCACACGCATCAGAGCCGCATCAGAGCCGCATCAGAGCCGCATCAGAGCCGCATCAGAACCGCATCAGAACCGCATCAGAGCCGCATCAGAACCGTATCAGAACCGCATCAGAACTGCATCAGAGCCGCATCAGAGCCGCATCAGAACCGCATCAGAACCGCATCAGAACCGCATCAGAACCGTATCAGAGCCCGTATCTGACCCGCATCAGAACCGCATTAGAGCCGCATCAGAACCGTATCAGAGCCCGTATCTGACCCGCATCAGAACCGCATCAGAGCCGTATCTGACCCGCATCAGAACCGCATCAGAGCCGCATCTGACCCGCATCAGAACCCGTATCTGACCCGCATCAGAACCCGTATCTGACCCGCATCAGAGCCGCATCTCTCCTGCAATCTCTCACTGCTGTCAGTCACACCAGTGCACACGCATCTGACCCGCATCAGAGCTTAATCTAAGCCGCTTCTAAGCCGATTCTGAACCAAAGTGCGGATCCGAGAAGCAGTCACAGATCCCGGCGCTGAGGAAGAGATCGTCATCTGGAGGCTCTACCAGTGCAAAACTATCCAGAACACACACACTTATGTTCAAACCATTTGGAATGTCAAATTAACCTAGTTCTTTTTGTTTACTTTTTTCGTGGAAACCACTCACCTGTCTCACTGCTGACCTGTCTCACCACTCACCTGTCTCACCACTCACCTGTCTCACCATTAACCTGTCTCACTGCTGACCTGTCTCACCATTAACCTGTCTCACCACTCACCTGTCTCACCACTCACCTGTCTCACCACTCACCTGTCTCACTGCTGACCTGTCTCACCATTAACCTGTCTCACCACTCACCTGTCTCACCACTCACCTGTCTCACTGTTGACCTGTCTCACCACTCACCTGTCTCACTATTAACCTGTCTCACCACTCACCTGTCTCACCGCTGACCTGTCTCACCACTCACCTGTCTCACCACTCACCTGTCTCACCACTCACCTGTCTCACTGCTGACCTGTCTCACCATTAACCTGTCTCACTGCTGACCTGTCTCACCACTCACCTGTCTCACTATTAATCTGTCTCACCACTCACCTGTCTCACTGCTGACCTGTCTCACCACTCACCTGTCTCACCACTGACCTGTCTCACTGCTGACCTGTCTCACCACTCACCTGTCTCACCACTGACCTGTCTCACCATTAACCCGTCTCACTGCTGACCTGTCTCACCATTAACCTGTCTCACCACTCACCTGTCTCACTGCTGACCTGTCTCACCACTCACCTGTCTCACCACTGACCTGTCTCACTGCTGACCTGTCTCACCACTGACCTGTCTCACTGCTGACCTGTCTCACCACTCACCTGTCTCACTGCTGACCTGTCTCACCACTCACCTGTCTCACCACTGACCTGTCTCACCATTAACCCGTCTCACTGCTGACCTGTCTCACCATTAACCTGTCTCACCACTCACCTGTCTCACTGCTGACCTGTCTCACCACTCACCTGTCTCACCACTGACCTGTCTCACTGCTGACCTGTCTCACCACTGACCTGTCTCACTGCTGACCTGTCTCACCACTCACCTGTCTCACTGCTGACCTGTCTCACCACTCACCTGTCTCACCACTCACCTGTCTCACCACTCACCTGTCTCACTGCTGACCTGTCTCACCACTCACCTGTCTCACTGCTGACCTGTCTCACCACTCACCTGTCTCACCACTCACCTGTCTCACCACTCACCTGTCTCACTGCTGACCTGTCTCACCACTCACCTGTCTCACCACTGACCTGTCTCACCATTAACCTGTCTCACTGCTGACCTGTCTCACCATTAACCTGTCTCACTGCTGACCTGTCTCGCCACTCACCTGTCTCACCATTAACCTGTCTCACCACTCACCTGTCTCACTGCTGACCTGTCTCACCACTCACCTGTCTCACCACTGACCTGTCTCACTGCTGACCTGTCTCACCACTCACCTGTCTAACCACTCACCTGTCTCACCACTGACCTGTCTCACCATTAACCTGTCTCACTGCTGACCTGTCTCACCATTAACCTGTCTCACCACTCACCTGTCTCACCGCTGACCTGTCTCACCACTCACCTGTCTCACCACTCACCTGTCTCACTGCTGACCTGTCTCACCACTCACCTGTCTCACCACTCACCTGTCTCACTGCTGACCTGTCTCACCACTCACCTGTCTCACCACTCACCTGTCTCACTGCTGACCTGTCTCACCACTCACCTGTCTCACCACTGACCTGTCTCACCATTAACCTGTCTCACTGCTGACCTGTCTCACCACTCACCTGTCTCACCATTAACCTGTCTCACCACTCACCTGTCTCACTGCTGACCTGTCTCACCAATCACCTGTCTCACCATTAACCTGTCTCACTGCTGACCTGTCTCACCACTCACCTGTCTCACCATTAACATGTCTCACCACTCACCTGTCTCACTACTCACCTGTCTCACCATTAACCTGTCTCACCACTCACCTGTCTCACCACTCACCTGTCTCACTGCTGACCTGTCTCACCACTCACCTGTCTCACCAATCACCTGTCTCACCACTCACCTGTCTCACTGCTGACCTGTCTCACCACTCACCTGTCTCACCATTAACCTGTCTCACTGCTGTCTCACCATTTTCCTCTCACCACTCACCTGTCTCACAATTAACCTGTCTCACTGCTGACCTGTCTCACTGCTGTCTCATCATTTTCCTGTCTCACAGCTCAAGCACAGAACATGTTAGCAGGACAGTCAGGTTGTGTTATCAGCCTGAGAGATACTAACCACCGCAGGCGAGAGCTGTAACCTACTTAAACCTTCACACACACAGCATTTTAGAAAGACAAAACACTGCCTGCACATCTGAGCATTAAAATAAAGTAAGATACATGTGGATCATAAAACCGGTGAAATGTTGCAGCAGAAGATGAAAACATGAGCTGTGGACCAGGAGCATTACACCGTCTGACTGGACATGAGAGATTACAGGAGGATGATCATTGAGGCTTAATACAGTGATATGAGCACAAACAATATCATTTCTACTGTTATTAAACTGCACCAATGCATGTATTCTGTGCGCATAGCTGATCTCTAATGAGCTGTTGATGAAAAGAAAGCCGTGCTGCAAACAACGTTCAATGTCCATCATAATATTGTACATGCAATATTATTCCTTTTCCATTTTCTGAAGAAAAAAACAGCACAATGGCCACTGGTTTTCAGGGTGTTGCTATGGTGCTCCAGGTGGTTGTCAGGGTGTTGCTAAGGTGCTCTGGGTGGTTGTCAGGGTGTTGCTAAGGTGCTCTGGGTGGTTGTCAGGGTGTTGCTAAGGTGCTCTGGGTGGTTGTCAGGGTGTTGCTAAGGTGCTCTGGGTGGTTGTCAGGGTGTTGCTAAGGTCCTCTAGGTGGTTTCTTAGAGTCCAGGAATTATGTGCATCTGTGGGATTTGTTCGCTTTATTGTCCACTATGTGAAAACTGTAAGTACAGTAAAGTAAAGTAACAGCACTTTCAGTTTTTCTTAAGTGATTAATTTATTTTAAAACAGTTCACCTTTTGTCTTGATAAAGTCTATAAAAATAGTCATTTTGATATTCTTCTACACACTTTAGAAACCACAATGATTGCATGCAAATAAACATAAGAATTTAATTTCTCAGTCTCAAAGGTTTAATACAGAATAAAATCATTTTAAAACCCGACGCTGCTTGAAATTATGAACAGGAAGTGGGTAAACAATTTATATTGTTAAAAGTACTATATAAATGAAGGTGCCTCGACTTAGACAGTGGTTTATATCATCACGCAGCTGAGATCATGATGAGAGTCCTGTGAGATCTGTGCTGTGGACCAGAACCAGAACTACACCTTAGCAACACCTTGGCAACCACCCACACATTCTGCTGTTTTTTTTTCCTTTAGAAAATGATAACAAACAATAAATAACAAACAACATTGTTTTTTAGAGTTCAAATCAGTCATTTTTACAAAAGCTCATTCTAACTGACTTCAAGAGCAGCGTTAGTGCAGTTTAACAACAGTGGAAATTATATTCTTTGTGTAGGTAATATTTTGATCATCAGTGCCATTTATTTTATGCATCAACCAGACAATAATAATAATTTTAATCAGAATCGTGTGCGCGCGCACAGGCTTTGTTAGCAGGAGTCCCTCAGTAATTTTCATTCATATCTCACTCTTATAGATCTGCCAATATCGCAGGTTCATCAACATCATCATCATCACCGCCAGAAAACACAGATCTCACTTCCATTCTCCTCCTCCTTCCCACGGGATTCGCTGCTCTTCCTCTCAGTGCTCCAAATGTGAACCAGGAGAGAGAGAGAGAGAGAGAGAGAGAGAGAGAGAGAGAGAGAGAGAGAGAGAGGCGAAACCCGAACAAAGGCGCAAAGCGTCTGGATCCGCAAAACCAGAGAATAACCACGATATTCCCTTTAATAAGCAATATTACACACACACACACACCCGCACAGCACCAGCCCTGACCCGAACCCACACTAACCAGCCGCCTAGCCCCGCGCTCCTCCGGGTGTTCCGCTGTAATCCGAGCTCGTAGACTCCTGTCGGATCCCGCACACTGTCCTCTCACGCATTCGCCAGTCACGCGCGTTTACCTGCGGGAAGGTGCCGCGCATCGAGACTCGAGCCTCATACTCCGCTCTCAGCAGAAACACGGATCTCCATTCCCAGAAGCCTCGCAGGATCTTCAGCTCGTTGATGTCATCGATGCTCGCGGGCACGAGCCTCTCCTCCTCGGTACCTTCCTCCTCCTTCTACTCGTGCTCGCGCGCCCTCCTCGCAGCGGTGACGTCACGGAGAGCGCGTGCACGGCCGCTGAGCGCTCGGACTCCTGCAGAAACAATGGAGCGTCTCAGATGATGATGATGAAGATGAAGATCTTCCTCATGAAGAAAACGCTTTTATCTCACCATCAACACATAATGAGGAAAGAAATCATGCAAATTGTAATGATCATGACATAAAAAGTTGGAATAAGTGACAGACTTTTCGATTCAGTAGCCTTATGTCATCATCTCTTTGTCATTACTATGATTTAGAAAAACATGATTTTGTGACAAATTGACAAAAATGACCCAGAGAATTATAAAAACCTATTCAATGTTAAATAACAGTAACTGTTTAAAACATATTCTATCATCGTGAACAATCAACGCGATATTGTGTTAAAGTTAGAAAAATGTCTTGGAGATCATTTCTCAGAGATGAACACAAATAAGACTTTTCAATTTAAATTAATATGTCATAACTTCTTTAGGCTATGCCATGACATACCCTAAATATGATTTAGAAAAGCATGATTTTGTGAAAAATTGACCCGGATATTTAAACATAGGGAATTACAGCATTTATGTTAAATGATAAATAACAGTAAAAGCGGTTTAAAACTTCTATTCTCGTGGACGATCGACGCGATATTGTGTTGAAAGTTAGAACATGTGTAACTGTGCAAATGTCAGGTCGCAATAATAAAGAAGTTGATTTCTTACACTGGGTTTGAGCTTGGAGATTTCTCGGAGATGAACACAATAACAAAAGCTGTACTTTACCTCAGAATCACACAATGGACCCTGCTCCTGCGGGCGCGCGCCCTCTGCTGGCGGACGCGCGCGTGACGTCGGTCGCTGATGTCATAACGGGCTCTATTGTGTTATTACCCGACCTGAGGGTCACTAGTTTAACATTTATACATGTCAGCTGGAAATAACATTTCCATGCATTTGGATTACACAGTTTTAGCACATGCACAAGTGATAAATCATGAAACAGGCAAGACTTCTGGATTAGTACTAATAAACTGAATCCATTTTAAATTCACAATGACCAGGTTTAAACATAAATCCAAATTTATGATTTATGATGAAATCCAACCTTTCTTCAATTACGTACATTTCTAGTAACTGAATATTGTTTGTTCCACAAATGTCTGCACTCAACAATCATATTTTCAAAATGTATCGATTCATATTGCTTAAAATCAGCATAAATCTCTTGTAAAAACAAACTTGTTTAGGTAAAACTATGAACAAATGCCTAACTGTAAAAAGCATTATTCAATCAGTTAAATGTATGTGATTGAAACAAAATGGATTTATTAATGATAAATCTGTTACATTTAAAACCCATTCAGTTGATCAGAAATCTGTCTTGTTTAATTTATGCATGACTGATAAATATGTAAAGCATTCAGTTTATTAGTTTATAATCAAATAAAAAATTAAATACATAAATCTTAAATTTAGGCCTAAATATTTTTTAGAGTGACTCCGAGATACTGCAGCTTTACTACAGAATACACTGATATACACTAACCCCATCATGCCTAACCTTAACTAACCTGCTTCACATTAACTAACCTGCTGGATTACCAGATCACATGGGTAATTAACTGGAGATCATATGTATAAATGCAGATTTCATGAATAGTCACAAGTAAAACAATGAATTTAACATGAAGTACAAAAAGGACTCTTAGTTTAGTGTAAACTCCAATCCTGCTTTATTTACACTGGTAATACTGGTTTCTACAGCACATGGAGATCATGAACCTTTCATCGTGAGATCCGTCTGCAGATCGTCCTGCAATGGAGAAGAAGAGAACATCAGACGTGGACTCGCAGGAATGATGACTGAAGCCAGATAATGTTTTTATTACCATTAGGTAAAAACATGTTTTCAGACAGTCTGTGGATCAGTTTCAACAGTGAAATGAAACTGTAGTTTAATGCAGAGGATTAACAGTGTGATGGGTTTTAAACACACACACACCACATCTGTGACTCTGGACCACTAACCCGATCTACTGAGAGTTACACAGAAATATAGAAATATCAGAAACATTGAGAAAATTGTGCATTTATGATCAGCATTTGCTGCATTCGCACACTACTATAAATGTTTTGTAAATTAACGGAAGGAGATTTACATCTTCATGAAACATGATCTTTACTTAATATCCTAATGAATTTTGTCCTAAATTACCCATAAAAGACCCATGGCCCGACACACGTGCGACTCGAGACGGGTCAGCGCCCAGATGTGATGAGATATATATATATGTATTAGTGATGGGTCATCATGTGCTGCGGGTTACAGGCACACACACTTCTACAGACGCCGGTCATTAAAGGGACACACTCCACACAAAACTGAAGTCTGTCATCATTTACTCATCCTCAAGTTGTTGAGTTTCTTTCTTGAGCTGAACACAAAGGCAGATATTTTGAAGAACGATTAGAAGATGGATATGGAAGTCAATGCTGCCAAATAATCGTTCTTTAAATATCTCCCTTTGTGTTCAGCAGAAGAAACTCACACACACAGGTCTACGACAACTTGAGGATGAGTAAATGATGACAGACTTCAGTTCTGGGTGGAGTATCCCTTTAACATCAGTGCTTCTTCTCCAGTGTGTGTGTGTGTGTGTGTGTGTGAAGACTGACCCGGTCTGACGGATCCGCTTACGGGACCGGGACCTGAAATAGACCCGCGACTCAAGGCTATTTCTATCAGCGATCGGGTTTCTGGAGAATACATGACCGGCCTTCCACTGACCACAGGAGAGAACATAAATCAACACGAACAGCTTTGACATATTTCTGAGACTTTTACAAACGAAACAACAGATTTACACTGGGCCACATGACACAGGAGTCAGCATCTAAAGTGGATATAAAAAGGCCATCAAAGTTGTCCTAACACAAGAACGGTATTGTTCAAAATTCATGTATAGCTTTCAATCCACTTCAAATGTTGAGTAGTGTACACGGACACGGTGTGTGTGAACGCGACACGGTTCGTCAGCAACCAGAGAAAACATTTCCTCAAAACACAAAAATAAGACACTACTAACCTTCAGTGCTCGAGATTCAGCTTCAGAAATATCATGTTTCATCCCACAATCAATATTACAAAATATTCAAACGGGGACTAAATTTGGCATTAAAGAAATGAGGCCTTCGTCCTGTAATGCAGTGATGATGAAAACCTGTCAATCAAAGTCAGAATACATTAAAGCACAGATAGCATGATGCGTACTTACTATCATAACTTACTTTTAGAAAACAACGAAAATCATTGATTTTTCTGATTGTTCTTTTCCTGTAGTGATGAACGGTTAGAAGTCATAAAGGGTTATTTGTTATAAAAAGACATTTAATATTATGGTTAATTTAAATAAAGCTAAAATAAAATGTATATTTTTGATCAAGAGATCTTGCCTTGACAATAACTTGGCAAAAGCAATACTTAAAATCTATTAACTATTAGTAAAAAAAAACTAATACAATGAAAAAGCACATAACTAAATTACTAAAAGTTTAACTAAAATTTACACAAAGCTAATTAAAAATAGTCATCAACATGGATCAGTGGATCAAAACTGCTATGAATTTTGAACATTAGCCGTTCCTGTCCTAAATGTTGATGACTGTATTCAAATAAATAAGACCCGAACACTAACTTTGGTTTAGTGAACTGAACTCAACGCGTTTCATCATGACACAAACTGAAGCCCTGAACATGTTTTGACATTAACTGTAGGAATACCCGTGAGTGACCCCGTGACCCCGCGACCCACGAGAGAGACGTCGCAGGACACCAACAGACGAGCCGCCAGAACAACAGCTTGATGGGACACTTGAGTTTATTCAGGCATCGCCACCCACCTTTAGTCTCGTAGTAAACCGTCTTAAATTAAACAAATCAGTTTCTGAAGTCTCTGGTTTTAAACAAAGTGTTAAACATTTTCAAAGTGCTTTCATTTGGGAGGCATTTACAACAACGACACAAAAACAGCCATTCCAAATCTCACCGAGAAGAAATAAACTTAAAGGCAATCAGAATAAGACTACGATGCATGAAGCTTAACCCTAACCCCAACGGCAGGTCTGCCACTCCAGCGCTCCTCCGCTCGTAAACTGCATAGATATCAACGTAACGCCAGCAATGAAGGGTGGATAAAGTGCAGAGTTAAATATATTACAGTCACTCCCCAGATGAAAGAGTCATTCAATAAAAACATTAAAATCACACGTTAGAAAAGATGATGATGTAAGGCTAGTTTTGGCACCGAGTCCTTCAGGATCGCCGACGGGAAGATGAACGCGTCATGACGTTAATGGAGTCTGATAGAAAACGTTTTGCTTTTGCATTTCAATTTGCATCGGACTGTCCTGTCAATCAAAGAATAGCAACCAATCAGAGACCAGGGCTCGTCCCAGCGCTATCTCTGAGTCCGCGCGCTGACGCCGGGATTATTGCATGGATCGTGTGCGTAGTAGCGTGTGTGTCAGTGCAGCTCGATGAACGCCTCCATCTCCTCTGAGATCAGCCCTTTGTAGGGAAGTCTGTGTTTCTCGATGGCTCGCGCGGCTAGGCACTGTAGCGTGACGTAGCTTAGCGGGTGTAGTGCGTGTCGTCCGCTGCTCTGCTCGTCCAGCAGCTCGTACGCAGTCTTGTGCTGCGCGTTGGTGGCGTCGAAGTGAGCGCCGGCTCGGATTAGCGCCGCCATGATCTCGGGGCAGCCGTTAGCAGCGGATACGTGTAGAGGTGTGTTGTTCTCGCAGTCGCGTGAGTCGACGTCCGCCCCGCACTCAAGTAGCAGGCTCGCCACGGCTAGCGACGGGAACCGCCCGACTGGGTAGCGCCCCACTGATGTGGTGTCCTTGTCCACGGCCATGTGCAGTGGCGTGTAGCCGCTCCGCGCGCGCGGGTTTAGCTTTAGCAGCCGGTACACAGTCTGCCGCTTGAGGTGCTCTTGCTCCGGAGCGCAGTCCAGCTTCTCCAGCAGGAACAGCAGGTGTAGGATGATGGACAGCGCTTTGGTGAACTGCGGCGCCTCAGGTGGACTGTCGCGCTGCGCTACGGCGCGCTCCACCTCGCGCACGCTCTTCCCTAGCACACCCATTAGGTCCTGGAAGGTGACGCGGGTGCATAACGTGCCTTTAGCGCGGTCCTGCAACACGAAGGAGAAGAGCTCGGCGAACGAGAGGAAGCTGCTAGCCGTCATCGGGCTAAGCGGGTCCAGGTTGCTCTGCTGCATGTCTAACGCGTACTTCCACAGGCTAATGCAGCGCTGAAAGTTCCCCGAGTCGGCGTAGACGGCGCCACGGTAGCGGATGTAGTAGGAGGTGTCTGGGTGCGACGGCCCAAGGATGCGCTCGCGGATAAGCAGCGCTTGCATGCGCATCTCGTCTGGATCCGTGATTAGTGCCTCTAGCTCATCCGCCGTGCTAACCTCACGCGCACACTCATACGCTGGCACCGGTGGCCCCGGAGTTGGTTTCGCCAAGTAGCCACCCGCCTTCTCGCCCGCCGTCCGCAGCTCCATCGCTCTCCGCCAGTAGCGCATTGCGCCCAGCAGATCGCGCTTCTTGTCCACAAATGTGGCTCCGAGAAGCTCCAGTGCGTCGATGCGCTCCTCCCTACTCGGCCGCGGCTGGTGCACCAGATACTCCACGATGTTGGTGTGTCCGGTGACGCTAGCGGCGAGCAGTGGGGTCATCCCGTAGCCATCCCGCTCCATGCGCGCCTCACACTTAAGGAGCATCTTCATGATCTCCAGGCTCCCGGACTCGGCGCAGTCGTGCAGAGCCGTGTTGCCCTTCACGCTCTTGCGGTTGACGTCAGCTCCTCGCTCCAGGAGGAACTTAGCGATGTCTCGGTGGCCCTTGTAGCAGGAGATCATCAGGCAGGTGTGCCCGTGCCGGTTCGCCACCTCCATGTCAGCGTGGTGCTCCACCAGGTAGCGCACGATCTCCAGGTGTCCGTCGAAGCAGGCGGCCCGCAGCGGGGTAGAGTTGGTGAGGGTGGTGTTGTTGACGGAGGCCCCGTGACCCAATAAAGACTTCACGACCGGCAGGTGCCCGGCGGCCGACGCGGCCCACAGCGGCGGAGCGCCCTCGATCGTCTCACCGTCGAAGTTAACAGATCCCCCGACCTCCACGCCAGCCCTGCAGTGTTCCAGCAGGTACTCCACCACCTCCAGGTGCCCGTAGCGCGCCGCGATGAGCAGTGGCGTGCCGCCCTGCGTCTTCTCCTCCGCCAGAGCCTCCAGCTCCTCCGCGCTCTTGTTGCTCAGCAACTTCTGGATGAGTTTCAGTTTTCCGTCTCTCGCCGCGTTAAACACGGCCGTGCTAATGTCCATCTTCTCGGCGCGAAAGTCCGTTAAAGCGCGTTTGAATTCGCGATCGCGTCGCTTCTTATTTAGTAAAGAGCGATCATCGCTCTGTATTTTGCTGCCATTTTAAGGCTGTTGTCGAAATGGCGTCGATGATGTTGTTTGACAGCTATGTTTACCACTACCGCCTGGAATGCTGGGTATCGAAGTCCGTATGTGCTGTTAGAGCACAGCGTGACCCGCGCAGAGAACTACAATTACACTTGTCATCCGTTAAGAGCGTTAGTACGTCGACCGGAAGGCTTGTCGCGTAAAGACTTGTGGGAAATGTAGTCTATAAACACGCGCACGCTCGTATCAGCTTGTCTCGTTGCGATTCTCTGTACTACATTCCCTATCATTCATTTGGTGAAACTCAGTCAGCTGATGTAAACGGAATGTATGAACAACTCGTCTGGCATGTATGAAGTCACTGCGTTCCTATGCTGTACCATAAACGACATTTTAAATATTTTAGTGTTTTAGAGGCATAAGTGTTTGGAATTGAATGTCACACACACACACACACACACACACACACACACACACACACACACACACACACACACACACACACACACACACACACACACACACACACACACACACACACACACACACACACACAACTGAATAAAGTGCTCCTGGATTTGTTACGAATTTATTTATTGCTCCATGGTAAAAACACAAAACATTACATTTCATTTTCTTCTTTACATAATTTAAATTCCCATGTGCAAAAGGGAGAAGAAAGAAGATAAAATCTTATAATATCTGTCCCCCTATTTCAAAATACAAAATAACCTTCTTAAGCAGCTTACAGACAAAAATTACACTGAAAAAAAACAACAAAACAATGTTGGATTAAATAACAGCAATTCATGCAGTATAATAAATCAGGCAGTGCCCAAACAGCAAAACAACAAGTAATCCAATACATATAAAGAAAAAAAAAAAACAAAGAAAAAAAACAAGACAACAACATGGATCCCACCCTGATCCCACCATATTAATACTAACCAAATTTACTTTGCTTATATCTCAAATATATATCTTATATATTTTATAGTTATATCTTCTCCTACTGTACTCTTTTTCTAACTGATAATAATGTTGTATTTTCTCTGGTAAGATTTTCGGTCTTTAAACAATATTATTAGTGTTTGAAACTTAACAAAATCTTCTAACTTTAATATTCTGCATTTAGCAAATAATTTGATCATTTACGTGATGAATAAGTCAGTTCTATAAAACTGAATAGGTTCTGAATAAGCTCTCTTCTGTAGATAACAGGTTTTATATTTGTCTGATATGTGTTCCCCCATACTTCTATGCAATAAATCAAATGTGGTGTGATGAGTGAACTATAAAGTATTTTCATTGTTTCCTTATTTAATACCTCCTTCACTCTGTTTAAAACAAAAAATATTTTAGGATTTTTTCTTCTAATGTATGCTATGTGAGGTTTCCATGTTAATTGATCATCCATAATTACACCAAGAAAACGAAACTCAAACACTCTCTCAATATCAACTCCATCTATGGATAAAGCTACAGATTCGTTTATTTTCCTATTTCCAAAGTCCATAAACTTTGTCTTTTCTAAATTCAATGACAACTTTTACATCAAACCATTTTTTCAGTTTTGTCATTTCGTAATAGATTCTAGTTTCTTCATATTATTATTTCCAGAACTGAAGAAATTAGTATCATCTGCAAATAAAACAAACTGTAATAATTTGGAAACATCACAAATGTCAAAAATGTCAATATATAAAATAAAAAGTTTAGGTCCCAAAATAGAACCCTGTGGTACCCCACATTTAATTTCCAGAAGTTCAGATTTGACATCAGTTAACTGTACATATTGTTTTCTGTTATTCAGGTAACTTCTCAACCAATTTAGGGCCATTCCTCTCATTCCATTCAAACTTAATTTAGAAAGTAAAATTTTATGATCTAAAAGTGCCTTTTTCAAATCAATAAACACTCCCACTTTCTTTTCATCTATCGCTGTTGTTATTTCTTCAACAATATTCATTACGGCAGTCACTGTGGACCTTTTTGCCTAAAGTCATACTGGCGTTCACTCAACAAGTGATGCTTTTCTAAAAAACTATCCAACTTATAAACAAAAAGGTTTTCTAAAACTTTTGAAAATTGTGAAAGTACTGAAACCGGTCTATAGTTATTGAAACATTGCTTATTTCCTGCTTTAAATAATGGAATAACTTTTGCTGTCTTCATTTTATCAGGAAAAAACCCTTCCAAAGGAAAGATTACAAATATAACAAATGGGTTTAACAACACAGTCCATTGTCTTTTTTAATATAACCATATGTATCCCATCACAGTCAATGGAAGTCTTACTCTTTAATTTAGAAACAATAGATATAATCTCTGATTCACAGACCTAAGAACATTGACTGCAGTACTCTACTTTCTCCTCTACACCCTCTTTGTGATGACATGTCATATATCTTAATACAATCCGCCAAATTTTGCCCCACATTAACAAAAAAAGAATTAAATTAATTATTTACCTCATAAATTCATACAGCCACCTCATTCAAATCATACAGTGTCTTATTTTTATAAATAAAATGATCAGGCAGGGCTCTATGTGCTGTTTTATTGCCCATAACTTTACTTCTAAAGTAAATCCTCGAGCTCACAGTAGGTGGCGCTAATGCGCGGAATGTGCGAAAAAACGAGCAGAAGAAGAAGAAGAGGTACGTCACACACAGCGGCAGCAGCGGAAGCAGCGCGAGGAGTGTGTTTGTGTGTGTGTGTGTTGCAGAGTCCAGTCTAACAACGGTGGATCAACACCATGTGCGCGGAGTAACTGGACGGATTTTCGAGTATATCAGTGAAGTTTGCTCTTCTGAGGAGAATAAAGGCGCGAACATGGCCGATGACGAGGCTTTGCGCGCGCTCATGTTGGCGCTCAGTTACGTGCTGATGAAGCGGCGGCGTGACGTCACCAGCGCGAACGCGCAGCGCAGGCACGAGGTTCAGCGGCGGGTCGCGCGCAGGCAGTATTTTCACCAGAGACACAAGAGGATGATCATGGTGGGTTATTGTCATTATTAACATCATATCTGCAGTTATTAAAGTTAGGGATGATCATGTTGAGTTATTATAATATATTCGGTGAATAACTGACCACAGCGCCACCTAGAGGAAGTTCTCTATAGGGAATTACTTTGCTTATTTCTGTCATAAACAGTTCTAAAAATGGTGTAAAACACAACAGCATCATATGATGTTAATTTCAGTGTCTCTTATTTCCCCCTAATACATTATGTACTCTAACCTGTCCTGTTGTCAGGTATTTAATTGACAAGGAACTATATTGGGTACATTGTTATTATTTATGATGATGATGATGAGCGTTGTTCATGAACTCTTCCTAAATAGGGCTTGGGCGTCGTGACGTCATTACTGGCGTGGCGGCCATGTTGGCTGCTTCGCGCATGTAAACCAAGGGGGTAATCCATCGACCAGTAGTTGAAGCCTCGCGGGAGCCGCCGTCTTGTAGCAGAACTTCACTTGCGTTAGCATTCCCATTGACTCCCATTCATTTTGGCGTCACTTTGACAGCGAATAACTTTACATCTGAGGCATTTGAAGACCTCATTTGTCCTTTATTTATTTTCTAAAGAAACACGACAATGTATAAAATGGTCCATTACGTTGTAGCTTATGTTATGGCCCCGTAGAAGCAGTTTTAGTGAACGTAGGCTAACGATTGCGTCATACCCACACGACTTTCTGTAACACAGTAGAGAGATTACCGTAACCCTAACCCTAACTTAATATCCTAATGATTTTTGGCATAAAAGAAAAATCTCTGTAATTGTGACCCATACTGTGTTGTTCCTATGGCCACAGATACACGTGTGACTTGAGACTGGGGTCCATTGGCACACACACACACACACACACACACACGTTGACTGGAATACTGTGCATCTTCTTTTGTCTTCACCAGAGGGAAGAGACTCCGAGCACACACCCTGAGTGACGACTGATCCTCAGCGGAGTAGCTTTAGCTGGATCTGATGATCTCATGTCTGATGATGTCATCATTGGTTGTTCTCGTGTCCGTCATGTGCTTGATGTGTCCTCATGTAAGAGTAGCAGTAACACGTGTTCTCCTCTCGCAGATGCTGATCGCTCAGACGTCGCGTCCCGTCGCGGAGCTGCCGGCGCGGCCCACTCGCGTGTGGAGCAACATCGAGAGCACGGATTGGTGGGAGCGTGTGGTGATGAGGGAGTTCCAGCCGTCCGATTGGCTGGAGAAGTTCCGCATGACGAAAGAGACGTTCTTCCTGCTGTGCGGGAAACTGAAGCCGCGGCTAACCCGCCAGGACACACGCCTGCGCCCGGCGCTACCGCTGGAGAAGCGCGTAGCCGTAGCGCTGTGGCGTCTGGCGTCTAACGTGGAGTACCGCACCATCAGCAGCCTGTTCGGCGTGGGCCGCTCCACTGTGTGCAAGTGCGTGCGCGACGTGTGCCACGCCATTGTGCTAATGCTACGCCCGCTGTACCTGCGCTCGCCCAGCGAGCAGGAACTGGAGGATGCGGCTCGGCTGTTCGCCACGCGCTGGGGTTTCCCGCGGTGTGTCGGAGCCGTCGGTAGCCTCCACGTGCCCATCATCGCCCCGTCCAGCGACACGCAGCACTACTGGAACAGCCGCGGATGGCTATCGGTCGTCACGCAGGGCGCCGTCAACGCTCTGGGCCAGTTCTGGGACGTGTGCGCAGGGTTCCCAGGCAGCACCGAACACTCGGAGATCCTGCAGAACTCCACGCTGTGGGCGCGCGGCTGCGAGCGCGGGTTTCTCCCGCCGCTGGACTTCATGGGTCGCCCGCTAGGACACCTGATGCTAGGCGACGCCGGGTTCCCGCTGAAGCGCTGGCTGATGAAGAGCCACCCGGAGTCGCTCGAGCTCACGCCGGGGCAGCGCGCGTTTAACCGGCGGCTAGAACGCGCGCGGGCCGTGGTGGACCTAGCGTTCCTGCGGCTCCGCGCGCGCTGGCAGTGCCTGCTGAAGCGTAACGACTGCCGCATGGACGTGGTGCCCACGATGATCGAGGCGTGCTGCGTCCTGCACAACGTGTGCGAGCTCCACGGGGACGCGTTCGACGCGCGCTGGGAGGAGGCGGTGCGGAGCGAGGAGAGCCCGCAGCCCGCGGACGAGGTGTCTCCCGCTAGCGACGACCCCGACGCACAGGAAGTGCGCGAGCTGTTCTGCGAGTACTTCCTGCAGCAGGAGAACCAGCAGAGGACGCTCGACTGCTAGGAGGAGGAGTGGGAAACGTCACCGCGAGAGGCTTTACACTCGACACTTCTGATCCGCTCACACACACACTCGCTTACACACACACTCTCGCTCTGTCTCTCTCTCTAAAATACAATTTTTCAAATATGATTTTAAAACATTGGAGCGTTAGAGACTCGTCCTCGTGTGTATCAGGACCTGCACCTGTAATATTCCTCTATAATAACACTAATCGCACAACAGAAGACTGAGGACACACACGACGGCCTCATGGACACAGAACGTCACAGCGAGAGCGAGACACACACACTTCTGTTGGCCAGTTCTAGCGGTCCGGTGTGGGTCTGGAGGCCGTCAGTGTTGTGTTTGTGTCCGATAGTGGAGGATGTTAATGTGATTTCTCTACACTTGTGTAAACTCACACTTCCACTGATAAAAAGTACAGACTTTGGTACCAAGTCACTTCTGAAAGTTTAAAAAGTGCGACAGGACTGCGTTTCCCAAACTCGAGCTGAACTCTATAGTTGTCTTTGGGAAACACGCATCAGTGAGCCGATCATGTGACAGAAATCTTCAAAAAGATTGTTTTAAATGAATCAGGATGTGTTTTAATTGGTGTTGTCAGTGTTGACTTTTTTGTAGCCAATCACAGACAAATGTGAACGCATGAACTGAACGGCCAATCAGAGGGGTTTACGGTTCCGCTCAGAGCTGCACAATCTGAGCATTTCGGTATCGAAGTCGGTACTTTTCGACAACTTCATTTTTAATAGTCTTAAATTCTTCAAATCATTAAACATGAAAACGATCTCTCATTATGATATTCTGTGTGATGTTAATGTGTATCAAGAACTTACAAATATAAATTCATTCAGTTACTTTTTGAGAAATGTCTGTCTTTTTATGATGATGATGATGATGAAGATGATGGCAGAATGATCATTTGTTCAATTCTATTCACATTTATTTGTATAGCGCTTTGACAATACACATCGTTTCAAAGCCGCTTTACGGAAAGTGCCCGAGTCCACGTCACCGTGATCAGAAACACACATAATCACAGTTAGGAGAGAACTATTTTATTCTTTTAAAAACACACTAACAGTTTCTGTGTTCAGTAGAGCGGTGTCGTGTTAGCGGCCGCTAAGTTAATCACTAATGATCTTTACAACGGAAGTGAATCAATCAAAACTAACTTTATCTGGACAGTAACTTTATTGTAGATCTGCTGTAAACACTCTCTGTTACTGTAATCTCCTGTTATCACTGTAGAGATGCGGTGAAACTCTATATTGTTAAAGCGCTGTATAGATGAAGGAGACGCGACTTTATGTAATTACTTCAGGCAGAAAAACGAGCTCATTGAAGTAATGAACACTTGTTTGTTGTGTGAAGGATGCTGAATTACTGCTCCATCTGTCTCTGAGAGACTTTATATTAATCTGAGGATTACATAGCCTGGAGATGTAGAGAGATGTATTAGGGTCAAGGGTCATTCCGGATTAGGGTTAGGAACGCAGTGTTGAACTTCAGGAGCGTGTTCATCTGAGAGTTTCGCTCTGAGAGAAGTTTCCCATCATGCTCCACCCGCTCCTGATCTTCATGGTGGTGGCCAACATGTCCCTGTCCGTGGTGTTCTGGACGCTGCTGATGTCCGAGGTCTTCTTTAAAGAGTCTGAGACGGAGGACGAGTGATCATCTTCCTGTCCTCCGTCACACTGTTCTGGTCCAGTGTTTTTCTGTAGCAAAAAGCAGCGTTTGGGAATTATGGAGAATTCATGTTCATTTACAGGTGAGAAAAATCGTCTCATGTTTCAACTTTCCTTCGCTCATATGATCTTTATTATTAGTATGCATAGATTGATTTCTTTTGTACTCTTTATGCTGGATATTAGTTTTGTAGACCGTAGACACTGGTGGATGTCATTTACTGGTCAATATTGAGAGACAGTATAAAACATGCTTCTCAAACGATCACCCGATCCTGAATGTGTGCTGTCGTCACGGGACGGCTCTAGAATCAGGGTTCGTTTTTGACTGATTCACTTCCTGTACTGATGTTAGTTGTCATTACTAACCCTTCAGCTCTACATCATGATTGGGAGGAGAACGTGTTTTGTTGTGATACTCAGAAAGTTAGGAGGGATGAAGACACACTATTACAGCAAATCCTCAAAGACATAAAGCCATTTTAGTATTCTCTAACTCATTAAGGATGAGCCTGAAATGCTCTAGAGAGAGAGAGAGATGTAGTTGATGAACCTTCATGCGTGTAATTCGGTGTGTGTTATCTGGGCTGTGTTTAGATCACCCTAACCCTCACTCACGGCTCCCTACACTGGCACTGTCAACACACTCCTCTGCAGCTGAAGTGGGCATATCAGAACCTGTGGTACCAGTCCAGTGCCAGCTTTAGTGCAGGTCTTTCTGAAAGAGTACATTACTCCACTAATACAGTTCTCTTGAAGTTAGAGGCTGAATTCAGACACTAGTGCACTGCTTGTGTCTATAGTTTGTGTTTGTTGTTTAATAATCATCTGAAACTTGGCAAACTGGCAGCTCCGGTTGTAATGAAAAGATAAATTTTGAACTCTCTTCTGGAAATGAGCTTTTATAAACCTTTATTAAACATATTTGATACATCACACTGCAGCCAGATTGGACCGGCTCCAGCGCCATCTACTGGTGAGACGTGGGAATGAATCCATCCCAGTGCATTGTGGGTATTCTATAGTTGTTGTTCTGTCCCAGTGCATTATGGGTAATCTGTCTATTGAGCCATCTGAAAGTTGTAGTTGTTGATCAATTTGTGTCCGACATTTTTTTTGACTGACGTTTTCTTGCGAGAAATTAATTTTGTAGTAAGCGTTTGCAGTAATTAAATATGTGCTTAGTTATATGTTTACTGTTTACTAACCCTTTACACTAGCTCATAGGCATGGGTATTGATTCAGATTCTTTCAGTTTTCAATTCTTCTTTTGATTTTCTATTTCTATTTTTAGATTCAATTTTAGATTTTGATTCCCGATTTGATTCTCGATTCGACTCAACGAATATAGATTTAATACAAATCGTATTGTGGCGAGCGTGAGCGTGATTGATGGTGAGCGTGATTGATGTTGAGCGTGATTGATGTTGAGCGTGATTGATGGTGAGCGTGATTGATGGTGAGCGTGATTGATGGTGAGCGTGATCGATGGCGAGAGTGATTGATGGTGAGCGTGATTGATGGCGAGCGTGATTGATGGCGAGAGTGATTGATGGTGAGCGTGATTGATGGTGAGCGTGATTGATGGTGAGCGTGATTGATGGTGAGCGTGATCGATGGCGAGAGTGATTGATGGTGAGCGTGATTGATGGCGAGCGTGATTGATGGCGAGAGTGATTGATGGTGAGCGTGATTGATGGTGAGCGTGATTGATGGCGAGCGTGATTGATGGTGAGCGTGATTGATGGTGAGCGTGATCGATGGTGAGCGTGATTGAGGGTCAGCGTGATTGATGGTGAGCGTGATTGATGGTGAGCGTGATTGATGGTGAGCGTGATTGATGGCGAGCGTGATCGATGGCGAGCGTGATTGATGGCGAGCGTGATTGATGAGCGTGATTGATGGCGAGCGTGATTGATGGTGAGCGTGATTGATGAGCGTGATTGATGAGCGTGATTGATGGTGATTGATGGTGAGCGTGATTGATGGTGAGCGTGATTGATGAGCGTGATTGATGGTGAGCGTGATTGATGGCGAGCGTGATTGATGGTGAGCGTGATTGATGAGCGTGATTGATGGTGAGCGTGATTGATGGCGAGCGTGATTGATGAGCGTGATTGATGGTGAGCGTGATTGATGGCGAGCGTGATTGATGAGCGTGATTGATGGCGAGCGTGATTGATGAGCGTGATTGATGGTGAGCGTGATTGATGTTGAGCGTGATTGATGGCGAGCGTGATTGATGTCGAGCGTGATTGATGGTGAGCGTGATTGATGGTGAGCGTGATTGATGGCGAGCGTGATTGATGGCGAGCGTGATTGATGGTGAGCGTGATTGATGGCGAGAGTGATTGATGGTGAGCGTGATTGATGGTGAGCGTGATTGATGGCGAGCGTGATCGATGGCGAGCGTGATTGATGGTGAGAGTGATTGATGGTGAGCGTGATTGATGGTGAGAGTGATTGATGGCGAGCGTGATTGATGGCGAGAGTGATTGATGGTGAGCGTGATTGATGGTGAGCGTGATTGATGGTGAGCGTGATCGATGGCGAGCGTGATTGATGGTGAGCGTGATTGATGGTGAGCGTGATTGATGGTGAGCGTGATTGATGGTGAGCGTGATTGATGGCGAGCGTGATTGATGGTGAGCGTGATTGATGGTGAGCGTGATTGATGGCGAGCGTGATTGATGGCGAGAGTGATTGATGGTGAGCGTGATTGATGGTGAGCGTGATTGATGGCGAGCGTGATTGATGGTGAGCGTGATTGATGGTGAGCGTGATTGATGGTGAGCGTGATTGATGGTGAGCGTGATTGATGGCGAGCGTGATTGATGGCGAGAGTGATTGATGGTGAGCGTGATTGATGGTGAGCGTGATTGATGGTGAGCGTGATCGATGGCGAGCGTGATTGATGGTGAGCGTGATTGATGGTGAGCGTGATTGATGGTGAGCGTGATTGATGGTGAGCGTGATTGATGGCGAGCGTGATTGATGGTGAGCGTGATTGATGGTGAGCGTGATTGATGGCGAGCGTGATTGATGGTGAGCGTGATTGATGGTGAGCGTGATTGATGGTGAGCGTGATTGATGGTGAGCGTGATTGATGGTGAGCGTGATTGATGGTGAGCGTGATTGATGGCGAGCGTGATTGATGGTGAGCGTGATTGATGGTGAGCGTGATTGATGGCGAGCGTGATTGATGGTGAGCGTGATTGATGGTGAGCGTGATTGATGGTGAGAGTGATTGATGGTGAGCGTGATTGATGGTGAGCGTGATCGATGGCGAGCGTGATTGATGGTGAGCGTGATTGATGGTGAGCGTGATTGATGGTGAGCGTGATTGATGGTGAGCGTGATTGATGGCGAGCGTGATTGATGGCGAGAGTGATTGATGGTGAGCGTGATTGATGGTGAGCGTGATTGATGGTGAGCGTGATCGATGGCGAGCGTGATTGATGGTGAGCGTGATTGATGGTGAGCGTGATTGATGGTGAGCGTGATTGATGGTGAGCGTGATTGATGGCGAGCGTGATTGATGGTGAGCGTGATTGATGGTGAGCGTGATCGATGGCGAGCGTGATTGATGGTGAGCGTGATTGATGGTGAGCGTGATTGATGGTGAGCGTGATTGATGGTGAGCGTGATTGATGGTGAGCGTGATTGATGGTGAGCGTGATTGATGGCGAGCGTGATTGATGGTGAGCGTGATTGATGGCGAGCGTGATTGATGGTGAGAGTGATTGATGGTGAGCGTGATTGATGGTGAGAGTGATTGATGGCGAGCGTGATTGATGGCGAGCGTGATTGATGGCGAGAGTGATTGATGGTGAGCGTGATTGATGGCGAGAGTGATTGATGGTGAGCGTGATTGATGGTGAGCGTGATTGATGGTGAGAGTGATTGATGGCGAGCGTGATTGATGGCGAGAGTGATTGATGGTGAGCGTGATTGATGGTGAGCGTGATTGATGGTGAGCGTGATTGATGGCGAGCGTGATTGATGGTGAGCGTGATTGATGGTGAGCGTGATTGATGGCGAGCGTGATTGATGGTGAGCGTGATTGATGGTGAGCGTGATCGATGGCGAGCGTGATTGATGGTGAGCGTGATTGATGGTGAGCGTGATTGATGGTGAGCGTGATTGATGGTGTGCGTGATCGATGGTGAGCGTGATTGATG